ACAATCCATTATTTGTCAACCAATTTGAAATTACATAGATTGAGTGAACAAAAATTACTGTAATCACACTTGCGCTGTATTATTAGACGAACTTCATTCAAGTATGAAGTGGTCTTACAGACAATAAGAAGTGTTATTTTATTATTCTTTCGATTACAGTTTATAGTAATCCCCAATTCTGACTTGGGTCTCTTGGTATCGAATCAATATATATACGTTACACTTTTCTTATACTGAAAAACTCTTATCAACAACAAACAAAGTTTTAGACATTGGTGATACTAAATCATGTTTATCAGTGACAGCACATAGGTCAACATTCCAATCTCCATTTCTTTGAAAGTAAATAGTTTGATAATCACATGGATAGTTTGTTAACTGTTAGTTTATATTATTTTAAACACAAATAGCGTAATAATTTATCTATTCTATGCATTTTTTGAACACACTAACTACAAGCTTGTTGTTTGAAAAAGTGTTTAAATATTGGGAGCTAATTCAAACAAAGTATTTCGTCTTTGTATGAGTTTTATTCACAAATATACAATCACCCTTAAATCGAAATAACAGTTGACTTAATTGTGTAACGATATGCGCTTACTCAATAAAGTATGAGAATAAGGCCTGAAAGAAATTTGTATGGTGTGATCAGCACAATATTTGAACGAGCCTAAAATGAAAACAAAGGGGTACTTTTGTAGTGAAGGAGAACACAGGTGAGGGCAACCAAATTGTATTTAGCGAAAGTTACAGAGTTACTCAGTAAAATAGGAAAACCATATCGTAAACGGTTAATTTGCAAATCTTCAATCAATCATCAATCCATTGTCTGACATTTCACTTATTCATGCATTTCATACAAATTCCATTGTGTTCCAATTCTTCCTTTCTTGATCTTCCCCCATCTTCTGCTGCCAGACATTACGTTTACACTCACGTCATATACTACTTATAAGTAGCGCACACCACACTTTCATATAAATCTCGATTTACAGCAAACATTAACTTGTTTTTCACAATCCCCTATTGTACACTGAAATCATGAATCGATAATTGTTTGATAACAATTAGAAAGCATTGAACGAACTATTTCTAGACCAATGAGCCGGCATTCAGCAGTCCTAATGTCCAACTTTGATCGGATTAAGGAAATCAAATTATAAATATATCTCATTTCCATATAATATCCGATCAATTCCTAACCCACTTTATCCCAAAGTATTATTTTTAAGATTTATACTATCAAAAATCTAATTACACACAAATAAGATAAATCAAACATAACCTTATGTACAATGATTTTTTCCACTAAATACTAGCCTTGTTTTAACTGTAGTTTTAATTATCTTTGTTGAATATTTAATGCGTTATATAAAAGATAGTGTCACGATTTTTGCTTAACTGAAATTTCATTAATTCAAACAGTTAGCAGGTCAAATAAACACACTAAATATTCTTGTGATTAGTAGTGACTTGCATTTCTTTCCTGTTTATTCTATGCTTTTCCAGTCTCATACATCATGATACTAATTAGCGTGTAAATTATTTTGACAAAATTTACCAATCTGTAGCGCATATTCATATTGACTTAACCGCTGATTTCAGACGGAATGAAGTTGACAATGACCTAATTATCAATTGATTTTACAAGAAAACTGATGGTAATAAGTAGCATTAACCCTTTGATTATCATTAGTTCATATGACCAGAATTTTTTTGTAGTTCATCATTATGTGAAAAAAAAACGACAAATCATTTTTTTTTGTTTCACCTCTCTAACAGGTTTATAAACTGGAATATACTGCTGATTCCAAAGCGAAAGTATAATTGTAAGTTTCATTTTCGTGTTGTAGTATATTATGATTGTTCAGTAAAATGATAAGTTGATATTACAGTTTTGTTTCTAACTAACCTGCTTTTGATTACTAATTATTGATATCAGAATGTCATTGAAATAAGGGATAATTCATTTGACAGTGATAATTTTGATATGTTGCAAAATATTAGAGATGATTTTCTGTTTTTTTTTCAATAAACTAATCAAAACTTTGAAAATTGATCTATGCATTGTAAACTAGTTAGTGGTTTTTCAATGATTTTCAATCATAATTTAATGAAGTTTAATGAACTTGATTAATTCTGTATAATTTACAGCTTACAAACAATGAAGTAAGTGAATTTTTGTTTTCATGCAGTTAATTGTTACAAATGTATTTCACAACAAAACATTCACAACTCAGTCATTATTCTGAGGATATCGACTTTGTGAAATGGGACTATATAACATACTAATTATTAGGTAAAGGCTGTAGATCAATTGATGAAGTAGTGAAGTGGTTGTATTATGTGCTACAAATGCCTAAACACTGACTACCCGAACGAGCTATGAAGAGGTAGACTGAAAGAAAGCTAGAAGTGGCCAAATATAACCATGTCACAAATCCATGAAGTCATTGACAACCAGACTGAGCCATGTTAGCAGGGTTAGACTACTTGGTTAGGGTTCATGAGACAATAGTAAACGATAATTAGAGATTCTGAATGACATTGGCTGGAAATCGTTTGCAAACGGCGTAGACGTATCTATTCTTTGTCACCTTCTGAATTTCTCATACCTTTGTTCACTATCTGAATTCATTTCACTGTATTATACTTCGTGAATGATATCTTTGAACTCTAATCTTTACGTTGACTGATTATACTTTTACTACCTCTACCACTATGGGATGTGAATGGACAATTGCATGTCTGTGGTAACGTGATATGGCAACTGGAACTGATGTACATACGAACGTAGGGAGTTCTAGGTCGTAGCTGACTGACTGATAGTGAATTATGTATCCTGAGACTGAATCTGTTAGAAATTTCAATCAATCGATTTTTTATATCAAAATTATATAAAATATTATTTTTATATACATTAACAAGTCACTACGTTTTATCTACGATTTAGAAAATCATATTATACTTTCTTTCTTTTTCACACACAAAGATTATTGATTCTCAGTGTACTAGTAATATTCATTGTCAGTACATCTGTGAACAGTGAAGACAATCAAATGTACCTACTGCATGTTCGATACTTACCAACACATTGTTATCAGAGAGATGTATGATACTAATATTGATTGTAAACATGTTTTATCGAATATGTGTTTTTGACCTAATAAGCGGTGGTAATATTCAGTAAAGTTTGCAAAAAACTCTTATGTTCAGTCTATCGATTTTGACTATTTGATTTGACACTGCAATCATAACTTAAGATAAACATACAAATTGTAAAGGTTAGAAATTCGTCAAAATAAATAATTCATGTTTAGTATAGGGTTAATTTGATCCAGTTATCTTCTAGTTACATTGACATACTGTTCTAAATGATTTGACAAGCACAAATGACCTACAATTTATAGTTTGCCAACTTTCCTCTCAAAACTATTTTTACCTATTTTAATTAGGTGATAAAAATATGTTTCAACAATGTCGGTAGACACTAATGTATGATTAATGTGGACATATGTGATCTGAAGTATGTGAAACACCACACATTTCGAACAATCTGATCAAATATTTCTAGGCCGTCGAAACCAAAATTTAAAAAGTTCAATTAAAGAAAAGTTCAAATAAATATAAGGTGAAATCAATCATAGTGTTGAAGGATTAGGAAATTGTTGCACTACTGTAGACCATAAAATGACTTAAAGACTTCGAGGGCCAACTGAAGGTCACAACAAACTGATTCTAAACAGATAAAGGGTGGTCTAAATTTGTGAATAACCAAAGATTCATCTCTATACAATGTTTTGAAAGTTGTTTTGATATCAGTTCTATCTCGGGTTATAAGTACGTATGAGAGTCAAACTCAGGAATTTCGGCCTCGTGAGTTGTTAGGATATTCATCCAATATCCTAAGAGAATTATTGGTCAATTTCTATTAGTTAGTTCCTACTGGTCAATTTTATGGTCGTCCTAGATATCAATGTCACGTGCTCCAGTGTTGTTTCTTATTGGTTGTCTTGACTATCAATGTTACTTCAAATGTTGCTTCCTATTGGTCGCCTTAACTATCAATGTCACAGACTTCGATGCTGTTTCCTATTCGACCAAAATGTATAAATACGCGTTATCTATAGCGTTGTATGACCAGGACCAGGACCCGGATCCTCAGTCCAGGATCCCGATTCTCTTCTGGACTCGGACCTCGTACCTTCTGGATGCTTGTAGAATACAGGTTCTACTTCACATCAAGTCTTCTTCTTTCACTCAATGGGGGTTTGGATAATCAGATTAGAGTAGCATGTCGTGTCACCGGATCCTCGATCCTCGCTCTCCTTTCGTGACTAAGGTAAACTCGTAATAGTCCAAGCATATCAAAATGACGTGTATACGTGCAGGCGTAACATGCGTGAACTACTATCCTATAGGCTAGTGACCCTTCATTCAAAGATATCAGTGTTCCACTCCGATGCTTTCAAAATATTTGTTCATCTAATAAATGTTAATATTCTCCTTTCAGTGTCGTATATCAACGTATAATAAATTTGACATTAGTAAGCTAAGGTAAGTCAGTTGCAGGTGATGAAGACTCTAAAAATGTCGATCAATCATGTAAATGTCATCTTTCTAATGTTTGAAAAATAGAAATAATTTCATAGTAATAGTCTAGGTGAATACATTTAAGTACAACCGGACAGTTAAGTTTTTTCGATCCGTCTGTCTATGTCCAACAAATGTTTGATATGTAACGCGCTGAACACATCTCAGCACATCAGCTGAAAAATACACATTTATGATAGGTACGGTTTGAAATAAACTATTCAATGGAAATTACATTTTTAAATCCAGCACTGACCTAGTGAATGAACTGAAAATATTGATAAGCAAACTCACACACTAGATGTATTTGTTTGCTGAACTTCAGATTTCCAATATCTCTTGTATTTCTTTACATAATCTCCATATCGCTTTAATTCTACACGACTTTTTATCTTACTAACTTAAGAATGGAACCTCAGAAGCACTGGATGAGTCAAGGATGTCGACATCATAACAACTTTCACGATAGTCAGGTAATTACCGATAAATTCTATTTGAACATATGTAGTTATCACAACGTGTAAAAATGACTTTACTTATTGATTAGATAGAGATTTTCATGCATTTCAGCTTTAAGCAATGGTTTTTTTATGATCTAAAAGGTATTTATTGTACAAGGTTACTACTCAGTGGGAGTTGCATTTCAATTATACATCACTGAAGACTATTTTTCAATAGAAATTACTTAATTAGTCCGTTTAATACAACCATTATATTTATTTGTATGATACACATTGAAATCATTACTGAATCATTGTTAGAACACCATTAGAAACCAGGAAGCTGTGGACGGCTGTTTCATTCTGGTGTGGTACTCATTAACACTGTGCGTCTACAAACCCATGACCTTCAGTCATAAGCGCAAACGCTTAACCTCTAGACCATTGAACTGGCGGCATCCAACGGTGTTACTGTATAACTCTGACCTGTCTAAAGATTTTGTGCAGCCTCATCCATTGTCTTCTGTACTTACTGCAAACACCCGATAGGGTTGAACTTCTTTATTCATGTCTGCTCACTAGAATCCAGAGGTGCAGTGTCCGCGTGCACTGATGGAATAAACTACTTAGTGAGAAATGAATGCCTACAAAGCATAGATTATTGATTTTACTTAAAAGCAATCATATATTTTAAGTTAACTGTTGATTTTCAAATGATTAATTCTCTTTATAGTTTTATCATTTCTGTATTCTTGTCTATTTTTACTTCAAATTTCAGAAAGGAATCTCCAGTGTGTTAACACATTGGAATAACATTGATGACCGATTTTTCTATTAGTATGTGTTACCTTACTGATATTTACTATGAAAAGTGTTCCACTTTATTTTGATAACATCTGATTTACAAATTTATCATAAATTTCTCAGTCTGTAATGGGTTGATGTTAGTTAGATAACCTGAAGGCAAAAGATAGCTGTTTTGTTCTAGTTTATGACTGCTAAGCGGTGCATATCCACAATCTGTGTGTTCACAAGTTCTCATGGCAAGCACTTTCACCTTTAGACCGATAAGCCAAAATCCAGTTATTTTTACATGTTACTTCGGTCAATTTGAGATATATGGTGTAACCAACTTTTAATTGCACTAATGAGTATGTACAGCACACCCAATATGATTGAGTTCCATTGGCCACGATGTTACATTAGAATTACTGAAAATACCACTGGAAGTAAGTCACTAGTTAGAATATGCTGCTGATCTTGGCTATAAAGCATTGTAGAGATTGATAAATTCCATAATTTACTTCACGTGCTGGTCTTAGTTCGGGAACCTTTGAAAATGATTGACAATTAGTGCATTTCTATTTGTTATGACGTTATTCTCTATAAAAGATATTATGACGTGTAGTTGATGTTTGTTATGCAGTGATACCAATTGAGATATCATGAAAAAGTAGAGGGAATCGAATGACAGTTTCACCTTAGCCAAAACGCTCCTTAACAGTGTACATCTTCAGCATATCTATGATGTAACCGAGAAGTACATGGTTTTGTAGCTGGCATCTTATTGTTACATGGTTACGTTTGCACCCAACAATTCCAATTCATGACTCCAATCACTTCACAATCTAGTTCAATTATCCATGATGAATATGGTTTTGAAAAAATATAAATCAATCTTCACAAACCCTAAAATTAAAACTTAAAATCTATAATAGAAATTATTAAAATAAGTTTATAATGCTTCTAAATATCCAAGTGAAGTTATGAATGTGTTTGAATGTTGTTGAAGGTGGAAGATATAGTGCACATAATCTCGATCATATATTTTTCAACAACTTTGCACATTGTTAAATTACATAACTGAAAAAGGTAATGTATGATAAAATATAGCTGAAGGTATATCTTGAGAATGATTTCACGGTTGTCTGCAGTAAGTAAACCAACAGTCATAATCTGACTGACACCAGTATGCCTAATGAAGAAGATTTTGAATACAGGAATTAATTAGAGTAGGTGTTAGTTAAGATGAATTTAATGGGTCGACGAACCGAAACTTTGAATGAAGTAGTTATATGAGTCATCGGTGACTGTTCTACAACTTCGACCTGTGTAATTTACGTAAAGGTGATAGGTTAGTAAGCGAAATAATACTAGACTGATGAGAAAAAACTCATCATTGTCAAAATACTGTGTTCTTTTATTCAAGTATACTTCAACACAAAGATAATGGATAAATGTTTCCGTTACTACACAATTAATTATCGGGTTATCTCCTTCTAGTTACGATAAGTATGCAAAATATGGAGCTTGTACAGTTATGAATGGAAACAAACCGAGTGCATTCAGCTACTTTCAACTGGGTGATAAACTTTACAAGAACATAATAAATATTTCGTATGTCTAAATGAAATGTGTGTTTTTATTTAGTCAATTCTGTTCTATTTGTTGATAAAATTATTTTTTCTATTGACAGTTGTTCCATAATTCTTTTCCTTATCGTGTGTTTGTTGTGACCAGTTGAATACGGAGAAAGTCGTTTACTATTTGACTGGATGCAGTGGCTATTTTGATCACTAGTCCCATTAAGATAGATGATGTAGAAGTGATCAGCAGTGTGCATTGTAGCAGCTCACGTACATTTGAGTTTGTATAGATTTTCCATTTGGCAAAGACCTTGTAACCAGCTTATTTAGCATATTGAGTTATTCGTAAAACAATAACTTATCTGTTATATTGTACTTGTGATATTATCACGTTTATATGAGCAGGATGATTGAGCACTGCTTACTGCCTACACACACACACACACACACTCATTCCACTCGCTTTCATGTTAACCTGTTCACTGATTCATTCGCTCATCCATTCACTCGCTTGCTTGCTGTTTAGCACTTATATACCATTTTCGCTTCAAGTGCCTATGGTTTTATGATGAACGTGTGGTGCGATAATAAGCATAATCAACGCTTCGTATTCATTTTCTGATTTACACACCATTGGGAGTTATCTATTAAAGGTTGTTAGGACATGCAGTGTACAAGGTTTAGGTAAATACTGAATAGCGACCACCACAGCTTGTATCACACTAAACATGAACTTTATCAGAGTGAGACATGTGTTTTATCTAGCCAGTAAGATGTTCCGTAAAATCCACACCTGTTGAATAGTAGTTGAAATCATTTGCATGTAAAGAAAATATAGTACAATTCCTTTTTTGATTTCAGACTGACCACACATCTAGATATTATTAAAATCGGCGAAGTGTATGAGGTAAATATTGTAATAGTTTTTAAGATGATTTCTTAATTAATGTTTACTGTTTTAACCTAATAGTTTGTCAATATTTATTATTCATAGACTGCAAGCATCGAGAGACTTCTATTCAATGAATTCCGTGTGCAACCAAAAATAATCTGCGCTAAGAATCAAGTAAGTTAGATAGTGAGTGTATTTCCGAAATTTTTTTAGTAATTTCATCCCACAGTCGGTTGTTACTGATGATGTCCTGTGAACTGATCAGCAGTATAGACAGTAAACACTCCTAACTTTTGGATAATGGCTATGATGTTTCTCTAAGTCTCCACCTCATCTAGAAAAACTGTCTTGAAATTGTATTGAAAATTATGAGTTTACTGTTGGTTGATAGCTATTTTCAGTTACAATGTTCTTCAGTCGTAGAAATATCGTCCTTGCTTTGATAATCCGTGACTTCATATCTGTATTAAATCTACTTAGCTTACCAATTAGGCTGCCGAGAGTTTTGATTGAAACAAAAATGTACAAAAACTATAGAAGTTAAAATGTCTTCAGTTTATCTGATCGAATAGCCATTCATTCCTAGTTGTGGTTATTATGATAAATTTCACATAGAAAATGAATGCATTATTTATCGAATGGCTTTTTCTTCTATTCACTTTTTTCTTTTAATTTCAGGCAAATCAAACATTTTTCCATGAACTAGTTTTTTGTTTTAATAAGAGTTCATCACTTATCAATTGTACATCAGACTATGCTGATGATTTTCAACTATTTGAATTGGATAATTTGGAATTCAATGTAAATATAACAAATGAACAAATGGAATCACAGGTACTTTGTGGAGAATCTTTCAAAATACCGGAATTCAAGTTTGCTGGTCAAATGAATGATACAGAAGCAAGATAGTTTAGATTTCTTTAATGACGAACTGGAATATTACATTTATACTGTGACCTTCATTTACAGTGGAGAAATAAAATACATACTTTTGGAAACATTCTCTCCTACTTTTACAAATCAGTATTAGTTTTAAAAAAGCTACTAAACAGAAGTGTTATTATGAATGAGCACTGAAAGAAGTATTTTAGCAAGTTGTATTTTATTTATATTCATGAATAATCATTTGACGTTTGCTGCATTTAAGGCAACAATAAATTATCATGCATCGTGTCTCATACATTCAAAATTTATTTATTTTCTTGGAAGTAGGGGCTTGTAAAACCTATTAAACTAGTCTAGTGAAATGTTGAGGGAAAATAATCACTACTGACTTCTGCATGAAGACGGAACGTGGCTATTAATGGAGCTCATTGTATCTGCATGTACCTGTTTTACAGAGCTGATGTTCACACTAGGACTCAAACCCGTTACCTTTCACTTCACACGCTCAAGTTATTATCTGTTGAGCTACTAAGTCTAGATAGACACTAACATGTTGGCTTTTCAGATGAAAGGTAATGGAATGTAGGTACTTCCAGCTGGTAGGTTTTCAACAAGAGAAAAACATGCATCTTATCTTCATCTATTAATCACAATCCATCTATTCTGAAACTTGAAAAATTCATGAAGGTATTATCTGTTCACTCTGTTTACGATGCAATAGTACTGATCAAGTACAGTTTTTTAATTTCAAAAGGAAAAGGCTCAAACATATATATATATATATATATATATTAATGCGGAACAAGAAATAAAGAAGCATTAACGAATAGAAGGAGCTAGTTTTCAGGACATCTTCTCCCTTAATTTCAAGTTTGTAGAGTATAATCGATTAGTTTTAAGAATCGATAAATTTTTTATAATGTATAAACTAACGTCACATTCTGTATTCAATGAGGAATACGTTTAGTGTACAGTTAGATGCTTAATATCGCCTTTAAATCTGATCCAATAACACAATACAAAATCATACTATGTGATTCAAATTTGAGTTTTTCCTAGTGTTTTGTCAAAGTTCCAGTTAAGTTAGGATTATTTGTATTGTGTTGGATTATTTCAAATTCATATGTGGCTTGTCTGGACAAATAAATTCAAATAACCTAGGGAAGTTACCTATCAATGAGTCATCACCAGAAGGAAAGATTATTAATAGTGTTTTGATACTTGGTGTTTGTCATATAACGTCGAGGAAGACCGCACTTCAACCCATTTTTAAAACCACCATTGGTATAGAAGCCTATGGTTTGTTGAAGAACCTTGTGTATCCTGACAAACCTGTCCTACTTCGGTTCAACAAACTTCTGAGATTTCTGACCAGTGATTTCGGTGTAACAACATTGGAACGTAGGAAAGAGCACTGTCCAACAAATTACTTCGGGTTCTACCTTAAATAATCAGAGATTTTATACTAGAACTTCATGCACAAGCCTCGGAGTGCAACTGCAGACAAAATCTGTTAATCCAACTACGGGACCGCCTAATTGCTGGAATAAATAAGTTTGAATCACAGATGTAGATAATATATATTCCTTCTCGCACCTTCCAGGATGCTAAGGCTTCTGTTTCACTTATGAATACGTTGATAATGATTCATGTGGCAAAATGAAACAAGATGATGTCTTATTATCAAATGTAAATAAATCTGCTGTGCTACAGAGTTCACAGATTCTTTCTAACCAGAACAGTTACAATTCATCTATGCACATCATTGTACTTAATGTGGTAATATGCATCTTTGTATCTAATCTAAGTTTCTTTATGCTAGTTGTAGCAGATGTGGACATATACAAAAATCTGCAAACCATCCAAGTCATCAGCTGCGAACGTGTTGAATCGTAATGGGGCGAAACCAGCTCATTTGGAAAGAAGTGGAGAATCACTGTTGCTTTCAGTTGCCTGCAGCAGAACTTCACATAGAGTGCACCTAAGTCCCATTCCTTTATTGTTGATACCGGTAGCCTATAGTCAATTATTTCTAAGGGAAATTTACAGTTTCTCTAAAATGTTGTGCAAATACTGGCATCACTGGCCGCCAATTACCCATTATTGGAATCGCCAACATTTCACTCACGAAAAGGGTGGTGTTTATGTTGAAACTAGTTTCTTAATTAGTGTGTTTTGCTAATCTGTGCTTCAGCTAGTATTTCTTGATGAGTAAATTCTTTTTTAGTACACCAATCAAAGGCTTGGTCGGACGCAGTTCGAAGGCTATCGAAAGTTTGAAAATACAGCCTGTACAACTAGAAGGGGAGAGCCCATCTTTTTCAAAAGCGGACATATTTTGTAGGGTTTAAGAGCGCCTGTAAAGAATTAGTCAGATAAAATGATTGAAAAGAGTAATATTCAAGGTTGAGTTGTCCAACTGGTCTACTCATATTGTAACACCACTAAAAGCAGATGAAAACGGATCCTGAATCTTCGGTAACTAGCACTTGACGCCTAATATTCGGCTATTGCATCGTACCGCAGAAGAAAATGATGATATACCACATAAATTACTACGGTCAGAGTGTCTTCCGAAATTACGAGATCTGTATTGAACGAACTAATATTACTACACTATTTAGGCTATTTAGATACAAACTACTGCCTTTTGAGTTGAATGTTTAACTAGCGATATTCCAGAAGCTTATAAGTCAGATTATTACTAGTCTTGATCGCTATCAGTAGAACAAAGATGATATTGTAGTCCATTCCAACAATATTGAATTTTACAGTGAATGTCTTTTAAAGTTATTTAGACTCTTTCTTGATGTAAATGTGGCCATAATTCTACCTGAGTATCTCTTCAAACTTAATTCTATCAAGGTTTGCAAGGTATGACAATCTTTCGAAGCGATACAGTACATCAAACAGGAACCGTAGTTCCTTTGTTCATAAACAGCCACTTAGAAGCCGTGTGGCTATACGACACCCAACTAACTGAGGTGACAGAATCATATTAGTGTCCTTTCCATACAAATGTCAAGAAACACCTAGTTGAAGGGATTTACTGACCTCCATCGGATACTAAGGCCCAGAAAAACAAACTGACTGAGGCAATACTGCAACCGCCACTCCCGAGGTCTGGTCAAATACTATTAGCCGGAGATTTCGATACCCCATTTCTAAATCTCAGCAATCAGAGTACAACTCCCACTGGTAGATTCCAAAGACTACTTACAGCAGCCATTAGAAGCTCTGGGCTGACTGAACACGTATGTACCACACGTATGTGCCACTAGATGGACTAAATAGGGAAAGCCCTCAAACCTGGATTATCAGTTGACAAATGACCAGCTCCTGGTTGAGGATGTTCACGTCCCTACACCAGTGGGTAGTAGTTGCCATGACACTGTCTTGTTTAACATGGTCATAAACGAAGCACTCACACAAGACGAAAACGAACCCTATCTCTGCTACACCAGGGCAAATTATACGCGTACGAGAGAGATCCTTCTACATCCCGCGTGGCCACGGGAGTGGTGGAGACTAACAGTAGATAAACACTGGCAAACAGCTAGAGACATCATCCGGAATGCTTACCACGAGTTTCAGAAAGGCGGCTCGTGCACGTCCAATCTTTTCATAGCCTGGGACAATTGAAACTCTTGCTTGAACCCAAAAATACTGGTGCATGTAATATTTCTCGACTTTGCAAAAGCCTTTGACACAGTACCCCACGCACGCCTGATCGCAAAAGTTGCAGAGATGGGATTCACTGACCCACTTTTATCTTGGTTCAGAAACTACCTTGAGAATATCGAGTTTCGTGCCAAGGTAAATAGAGTTAACGTGAGCTGGCGAGTCTCAACATCAGGAGTTTCACAGGGTACTATCTTAGGTCAACTTCCCTTTTAATATTCACCAACGACCTGTTAGGCGCAGTTAGTTCACCGGCAACGATCTAAGTAGACGATGATAAGATCTGTAGGTTCATTAGAGGCGAAGAGGATTCGACTGAGCTTCAAAAGGACCTTACATATATTCAAGAATGGGCAGTGAAAAATGGTTTAAAACTAAATCAGACGAGGTGTCACGTCACGTAAATTCTGCCTCACATAACGAAAATGATTTACACCCTCAATCGAAGTCCGCTCCCTAATGACCCCATGGAGTTCTATCTCGGTTTGATAACGACAGAAAGCCTGCACACCAGTTCGAACTATATAGGGGACGCAGCCAAGTCAGATGTATCTCTACACTTTATGTGAAGACGATGTTGGTGCCATAACCTTGGAATTATTGTTAACTTTGTTTAAGACATACGTGCGCCCACATCTTGAAGTTCAAAACGTCGAAGCACCTTCTCTGCTTAAAATAGACATAAATCTCTTGAATCGAGTGCAGAGACTGGCAAAGAAATGGGTGATAGGGTTGAAGGATAAAACTTAATTAGGTAGATTCCAGGACATGTTATAATTCTCTCTGAGTAACGGGTGAATTGGAAGTGATCTGTCTACGGTGCAGAACATATTGAGCGCCTCAAACCGTCCCAATGTGAGCACCTAACAGATGCAACACCACAACTCCCCTCGAGAAATTTTACACAAAACAGCGAACACAGTTTCGTGCACAATTTTCCTCACTAAGAGTCGTCGCAACTTGGAATGCTTTCTTAGCCGGTGTGATCGCAGCCTATCCAGTGGAAAGCTTCAAGAAGAGACTTGGTCAACACATTGTCACAACCAGATAGATTGGTTTCTACTACCTCGTAAAAAATATGTATTTGATATTGCACAAGTGGAAGGTCTCCTTGAAGGATTCCGATCGCAGTTCTTACTTGGCATTGAGAAACAGATGCAATACCAAAGTTCGAAGCGACAGGAGACAATTCCAGACGATACTAGCCGCCAGAATAGAGGCAAACCCGAAACATCTGTTTAGGTTTCATGTCCAAAAGAAAACCTACTAATCAAGGGTTGTGCCCCCCTAAAAGGGCCTAACGGAGAAGACCTCACCAACCTAGAAATGGCCGAGATCTTCAA